CTACATATAAAACACTAGGTACTCTTGAGTCTTTCTTTCTGCATTTTTCACTTTGCCATGAAAATGTCATTAAATGTTTCAAAATAATACCTTCCCCCAACAGGCTATGAATTATGGAGGCTACTTCTACACTGAAGAAACTGCAGCAGAATCAAGAATGCATTTATGCTGAAAGATTATTTTTGAGACTTGATTTCAAATATTTAATGACTATGCACAGGGCCTACGGTTAACCGTATTAACCGTATTAACCGTATTAATGTGTATTGCAAATTTCTAAATAGGAAAGGGCACAATGTTTAAGGATACAGAACTATTTCAGGGGAGGATGGGGGGAGCTAGGAGTTAGGGAGAGGTCTGGGATGAGCAATTTAACCGGGCTTTTCAAAGAACAGAGAATTTTCTAGATGAAGTATATGGTAGCTATCTGAGCCGTAAAGGAATGTAACTGCGGGGTCAGATCAAGGGTACAGTGGGAAAGACACTTGCCCTGCACACTGCCAACCTGAGTTTGATCCCCTGAACTCCATATGGTTCCCGGAAGCCCCACAAAAGTGATTTCTTGAGCACAGAGTCAAGGCTAAGTCCTGAGTACTGCTGGGTGTGGCCACCCCCCCCCCCCCCCGCCCTCGAAAGAAAGTAGTTAAGCAGTGAGGGACACAACAGGAATAAAGGGTCCATCCTTCCATAAGATGAATCCAGATAAAATCCAAATAAAAGTAATAAGAATTCAAAATTTAAAATCTAGCTTTTACCAACTCAAGAGGAAGGTCATAGGAGATTAGAGAAATCGCTTTGTGGATTTTATTATTTAATAGATCACTAAAAGCAGCCAGGAATGGCAGGAGGAAGGTCAGAAGAACCACAAACCCACAAGCACGCTGAGGGTAAGGGCACCACGTGGATGACGCCAAAATATGACAACTCTAGAAACTAGTCTGATCTGGAACCTAAAGTCTGTTGAGAACTAATTATTAATAAACTTAGTTATGTTTGTGCACAGGTGTAAAATTGACTCTACAACTCATGTCACTCTCCAACACAAATAATGAAGCTACAGGCAGAAAGTCATAGTTCACGTGAGGATAAGGTAAACATCTTGTGGAGAAGCAACCACTCCAGTTCTCCTTTTGGGTACCACCATCTCCCACGTGCCATTCACACGCCAGCCAACAAGTTTATATAATCAAACCGAGTAAAACATCATCTTCTTTCCTAATGTATGACAGGTTGCTGAGAGAGCACCTGATTTCCATCAGCTAAATTGAGAAATTAATAGCTACAGAACTTTTGCTGTCCTGACATGTGTGTATCAAGCCAGGGTCACGGTGGTTTTTCCTGATGAACATTCCCTGATGTGCTCCTGCTAGGAACCACCACCACTTCACCATCAGTCCTGGACAAATCTCAGCTTCTCTCGGCCTTAGACACAAAAGTCTTCACTTCACTGGCTTTTCTCCACTAGTTTTCCCAGCTTCTCAATTCTCATGTGCTCTAGGTCACCTTTTAGAATGACCCCACCTGCCAACCTGCTTCATCAAACCTGCCCACGACACAGTGGGCTGTTACCACCCTTGGAAGCATAATCCCCATGAAGTCTGACCTTCTGTTGACCTTGTTCCTTCTGTCTCTCTTCAGTGCTAAGAAGTGGACCAGAGCATAGCAGTCCCCTCACAGGGAGCTGCTCAATGAATAAATGAATGACCCAATGGAGATTAAAATTTAAAGACACAGTTCCTTGGGACAATGTTCATCATGATGTTTTGGGAGGAACTGCAAGTTTAGATGATGATACACATTGTACTGCTCCCTGCTACCAACCAATGGTAGCCTCATTGGCTGAAGTATGGGTACCATTATCAGAAGAACCCTTTTCTTTTTTTTTTCCTTTTTGGGTCACACTTGGTGATGCACAGGGGTTATTTCTGACTCATGCACTCAGTAATTATTCCTGGTGGTGCTCGGGGGACCATATGGGATGCTGGGAATCGAATCCGGGTCATCTGCGTGCAAGGCAAATGCCCTACCCGCTGTGCTATCGCTCCAGCCCCAAGAACCCCTTTCTTATCAGTGTCTTCCTGTCTGTCCTAATCCAAGAGCTCAAAAGAAACAGCTTCTGTCCTTACAATTTAAAAACCACGCTTATATTCTATACTGGCAAAGTCCCAAGGTACCCTACAAGTCCTAGCGAGATTTCTGAGCTGAGATTTTCTTTTCTGGGAAAGGGAGGCATATCCAGCAGTTCTCCTGGACCGCTCCTGGATCCGTGCTCAGGGGCCATGCTTGGCGGTGCTCAGGATACTGGTATGTGGTCCTAGAGATTTAAACCAAGTTTGTGGCCAGAGCTGCAGGCAAGGCAAATGCCTTAATTTCTATGAAATCTCTCCAATGCCCAAGTGAATTGAGTTTTTCAGCAACAAATTGCCAGGTCTTGCAGACAAGATTTTTATGTCAATTGCAATAAAGAATTTGGTCGTGGAGATAACCATAAACTGCTGGAGTACGTGTCCAAGGCCAAAGGGCAGTTAAGTGTGGTTCATTTTGCCCAGCTCTAGCGAAATCCATTCTGGTAAGCCCTTGGCAATCCATATGCTGCCTTACTGCAACTCGAGTCAGCAACTCTCAGCAAGAGGATCTTTCCCTTCTCTCTGTTTGAGCCCCACTGATGCTGGAGTTTAGAAGGAAACTAAGCTCAATCCAAATACCAAATGTTCCATATGGTTGTGTTATTACCATTCTCACTACTGCTACGTCTGGGCTTCCACCTCCACGCCCGAGGTGCCTCACTGGAGTCTGGCAGAACATTATGAACTCTTTTTCCTGGCCTATATTTGTGACACATTCATTGTCCTCGATCTCTTTATAAACTCTCTCATTTGGGGGGGGGGGTTTGAAATAACATATAGAAGCATCTAAATACCAGTTTTCTTTGCTTATTGATCCTCATTAGAGCAGAATAATGCATGAACTATTTAAAAAGAATCCTTAAGTTAAACTGTCAGAATTAGGACATCACATGTTCCTCTTATACTTAAAAATTACAGCGCTGTATGAAATCACATGGAAAAAGGAGCCCAGGGAAAAGCAGAATTTACTTTCGGAGCTGTGGCTGTCTGGTGAAATGCAACAGCTAAAGCCAGACAACTCAACTTCTTTAATGTCTCCCTGATGCCAAATCACTTTTATTTTCCTTCTTTTTGGGTCACACCCGGTGATGCACAGGGGTTTCTCCTGATTCTGCATTCATTAATTACTTCTGCACTCATGAATTACTCCTGGTGGTACCTGGGGGACAATATGGGATGCTGGGAATCGAACCCGGGTCGGCTGTGTGCAAGGCAAACAAGCGCCCTACCCGCAGTGCTCTTGCTTGGGACCCACCAAATTACTTCTTGATGCTATTCTCCAACAACAAAAGGAGGTGGGCTCACACCTCCACAGCTTCCCTTTGCATTTTCAGAGGGAAAAACAGACATTTCCCAAGAACTGGAGTCTCATCCCATATTCTCTTACATTTATTTAGTGAAAGTAGCTTGTTTAGCAATGGGGAAGAAACAAGCTTAGTTCAGAGATTTAAAAAGACTCCGCTGGGGCTCAAAGAGATCCAACAGCAGGCCTGACCCAGGACACGCACCAAACCTCAGGAGCTGAGGAGCCAAAAGAAGGAACAGGGAAAGGACAAGGTCCTGATGTCCCATACACAGCTGCCCCAGGGGGCTCATGAGCCAAATTTTTTTTTCCAAAATTTCTGACCCAGGTGAAACTGTATGGAAGTGGGTGCTTCCCCTTCCTTACTCTCAAACAGTGGAAAATCAACTTGGGAAATACAACTCACATCACTTTCCTGCACAGTAATTTGCAACAAGTTTCAAAAGTCGTAAGACCTGAAAACTCGCAAATTCATCCATTCGTGATAGGTGTGGTATTGGAATTTATGTGCATGGGAAACGACTATGGGTATTATTGTAAATCATGGGGCCTCAGTAAAAGAAATTTTAAAAATAAATAAAACATCACTGTATCACTGTTCTCCAGTTGTTCATCGATTTGCTCGAGCTGGCCCAGTAACGTCTCCATCATGAGACTTGTTGTTACTGTGTTTGGCATATCGAGTACGTCACAGGTAGCTTGCCAGGCTCTGCCATGCAGGAGCTTCCTGGGCTCTCAGAGAGGGGCGGAGGAATCGAACTCTGTTCGGCCATCTTGGCTGCATGCAAGGCAAATGCCCTACCTGCTGTGCTATCGCTCCAGCCCAAGAAAAAATAAAAACATATAAGAAAAAATATAATTCATCCATTAACTGATAGGAAATTACACTAGGGGAGCCATAATTATAAGAATATTCAGTGCTCACAGCTTACTCCAGGTTCAGTGCTCATGGATCATTTCTGATGGGGTCTGGGAGAGTATATGGGAATCCCAATCAGGCCGGTGCAAGGTTAAGTGCCTTCCCACTATACTATATTTACAGTTATTATCAGAATATCCTTGAAAGCATAAAAGTAAAAAAAATATTTTTGAAATAACCTAAAATGCCTAACTAGAAGGGCTCAGTATTTAAAAATATGCATGCTATGGTACGTTATATAATCATTAACAATCGTGTAAAGTTATCCTTTGGTATAAACAGATGTCCATTATTAGTGATGAGAGGAATAATGGTAAGATGACAATAGATTTGTTTTCTTTTACCATTTGATGGCAGTCCCTCCAGATGAAACTATCCCTTTCTTATTAGCATCACTAAAACTATCCCTTTCTTATCCCAACTACTGATCTCAAACAGAGCTTGTTTCCATTCTCACGCCAAAGCTAGGATTCCATTTTCCTCAAAGAAACAAAGAATAAATAGATGGGGAATAAGAGAACACAGAGGTGTCTGTGGATGCGATTTACATAGATACAAGAATATATACACATCATGACGAGACTAGCTTTGGAACGCTACTTCAATAAATAAAGGAGAGTTGTTCTTGGTTAAAAACTTTGGAGAGACTTACCTGTACCATGGGCTTTCATCACAACGGAGAAGCATAAGCTGTCACTTCCTTCCCTGCAGATGCTCACACAGATTTTTGTTCGTGTACAACGGGTGGCAGTAGAGAAGCTCAATGTAAAATAGCTAGACCTGTAATTACAAAAACAATATTCCCACTGAGTTAGGCAGGCAGCTTTCCATGGCCTTCATTCACATTAGCTGAAGTCACAGAAATAAGTATATCTCTCTCTCCTCTCTCTCTCTCTCTCTCTCTCTCTCTCTCTCTCTCTCTCTCTCTCTCCCCCCCCCCCTTTTCTCTTAAACACACACATATGCATGCATAGAGTTCCTCCTTTGGGTGGTGGTGGGAGGGTATAACCAGCAGTATTCAGGGCTTATTCTTGGCTCTGTTGTCATAAGTCACCCCTGGCAGTGCTTGGAGGACCACTATGAGGCACCATGGATGGAACCAAGCTAGGCAGGCTGCAAGACAAGTAAGTGCCTTAACCCCTCTACTAGTTCATTGGCCTTGATATGTCACCTAAGTCTTAGCATTATGAAAATTTCTGGATTTGATTATCCTTCGATAGCAACTGCCAAACTCAAGTAAAACCAACATGTTCGCATCTCAATCAAGAGCAAATTTATAATTAATCAGTCATAAAATTTTAAATATCAACTAATCCCATATCCAGATACCAAAACACCAAGGAAAAAGCTAAAGCACAAATAACCAACCTAAATGTCTAAACTTTATTAGAAAGATAGCATATAATCAAATCAAATGCCATGTGGGAATCTCTAAATTAAAATATGGAGATAAAGATAGGAGCATCAACAAATCATAATATAGCTATGTTTTTGAAGTTTCTACCTATTTACAAACACTACATACTATTGGTCTTAAAATCAGCTATACAAAATAAATATGAATTCATCAATAACCTGTTTCTGGGTCACCAAAGTCTGCCCTTCTGAACATGCGCATGCATGTGTTCATTTGCACTATTCTTTTTTAAAAAAAATTAATTTCCTTTTTCGTAACTGAATGACAGTGAGATGTAGTTACAAAGTTGTTCATTAATGGATTTCAGTTATATAATGTTCCAACATCCATCTCTTTATCAGTGTACATTTTCCACCACCAATATCCTCAGTTTTCCTTCCACTTCCTCCCCACCCCTCCTGCTCCTATGGCAAACACTTTTCTTCTTCCTCTCTCTTTCTATCTCTCTCTTTCTCTCTCTCTCTCTTTTCTTTTGAGCGTTATGGTTTGAAACACAGATACTGAAAGGTTATCATGTATATCCATTTACCTACTTTCAGCCCTCAGTTCTTGTCCAGAGTTCATTTGCACTATTCTGGTTACGCCTTTGAACATGCCTCTCTCTCTGATTAGCATGCCTCTGTGCTCCCTGTGGCAGCTACGGAAAGTCTACTTATTCATCAAAGGCAACCATAAACCTCAATTCCTCCACAGTACCTTTCCTCTTTTCCCATGGCATTTACCTGGTAATCCAAGCAGTGTAGATTCTGGTCCCTAAGTCAGCAAAGACACCGATCAACAACATTCCGTGGTATGTCATATGCCCAAGCAAGTCTAAGATTCAACCACCATCACAACCATCTGGATCACTATACTGGCCCTTGAATTGGTTTCTGATTCCACTCCTGAGACCCTAGCCTTCTCAACATTTCCATTTCCTTAAAAATGCCCTGCTTGCCTACATCACAGGGCCTTTGCACACGAGCTCATCCTTGCTGAGAATGCTTCCCAAATTACCCACTTTGCTCCTCAAATGATCTTGTATTCTTTCTTCCCTTGGTACTCAACCCAATCCTCCTCTTCTTTTCAAAATCCCTGGCCAGGTGATTATCTCTCACTATGTGCTGCTACAAAATCGCTCTCCCTTCTTATATTAGTGCCCTTTGTCATTTTAGATTTTTGCTGAGAAAGTGATTACTATTTAGTAAGCTCCAGGAAGGCAGAACTACGTGCTCTCTTGCCTGTTCTTTTTGCTTCAATATTCAATATGATGCTTGGCACATTGCAGGGACTCAGTAAAATTCTATTGTATAAATTAATGGGGAAAAGAAGGAAAGAGAGAGAAAGCGTGGGGAAGGAGGCTAGAATGGGAGGTAGGGAGGGAAAGGAAGGGAGGTGAAGGGAAAAGAGAAAAGAGAGGAGGGAAGAAAGAAAATACACCCCTAATCATAAATTAGTGTGGTTGAAAGGGCCAGGAATATTGCCCCATAACTAAGCCTGTCTCATGAGCTGGGGGAGAAGGCAGCTGGAACAGAGAAAGGATTTCTAAGACAAAGATGGTTGGAGGAATCATTCAGGATGGGAGATGTGTGCTGAAAGTAGATAAAGGTCCAACCACGATAACCTCTCAATATCTGTGTTGCAAACAATAATGTCCCAAAGTAGAGAGAGAGTATGGGGGAAATTGTCTGCCATGGAGGCGGGTTGGAAATGGGCGGATATACTGGGGACATTGGTGGTGGAGAATGTGCACTGGTGGAAGGATGGGTGTTTGATCATTGTATGATTAAACATGAAAGCTTGTAACTGTATCTCATGGAGATTCAATAAAGAGAAAGAAAGAATGAAAGAAAGAAAGAAAGAAAGAAAGAAAGAGAGAGAGAGAGAGAGAGAAAGAAGAGAGAAGCTTGATATCCAAGCCAAAAAAAATAGTGTGTGTTGAGTTAATTTGCTGATAACTTTTAACCATACAGGATAAGAGCTGCCTTCCTCATAAAAGTACGTAAGACTCCAGTGATCTTGGTCCCAGCCAGTCAAGTCCTCCGGATGCACTTTACCTCAGTTCCTCTCTCTGACCAACTCTGCCGGGTGCTCATGCATCTCCAGCCCCTAGTCTGCTTCATTTTTCTTTGTGTGCCATCTTTTCAAGTGTCAACTTCTTCTTCAAGTCAGAGTGGGGGCTGCTCTTTTCATAAGGCCCTTCCAAAAACCATCTGAGAAACCAAGACCTCTTCCCTCAGTTCTTGTCAACACCCTGAACGTATCACTATGGAAGCAGCATACTTTTCTTCTTACTTTGCTTAATGTCCTCAAAGGCAAGGGAGGGCAAACAACTCATCACAGTATCCAGAGGTTAGCACTGCAGACTGCATCATAGAGTCATTAACTATATATGTGCTCAGTTAACAGCGCAAGCATCATATATAACAGTGCAAAGCTCCAGGCTATTTCATTATACTACTATGTCATAATAGTATTCAAATGCTGTGAGGCATAATGGTTATAAATTCACCCTAAAGTGGACATAAAACACCTCTTTCACGGAGTACTTGGGAGGATCAAATAATGAACATAAGTGTTTAGCACACAGCTGAGCACACACAAGCATTCTAAATATTAAATGTATAATCATTATCACTATCAACATTATCATTAGGGCAACCAAGCTGAATTTATAATTTCTGCTTCCAACTTAACAGTTTTATTTGCCAACATTTTTTCCCCTATTAAAACAGTAATTAGTATAAGCAACTCTGCAAAGCCAGGAAAATGGCTAGTGAGGCACTCAGCAAATGCAGGACAGGGGAATTTTATTCACTACCGCTGAAGGACAAGGGCTTATTCCTGCAGTCTGTCATGCAAGTGTGAAGGTGCAAAAGCATCAACATGAAAGAAGCATTTATGTACAAAAGCAATTAGTAAAGGGCTGGACAGACAGTGCAGGGGTTAAGGCACTTGTTTTGCATGTGGGAGACAAGTTGGGTCTTGGCACCCTGGTCACATGGTCCCTCAAGCACCACCAGGAGCAAACCACAAGCTGAGAGTTAGCCCTTGAGCATCTCTGGATATTACCCCAAACTCCCATACTGTCCCCAAATCTATCTATAAAAAGGAATCATAGAAATAAATAATGTTGATAGTACAGTACAGCTGGTAAGGTGCTTGCCTGATATACAGCAGATGCACTTTCAATTCCCAGGACTCCATATGGTCCTGGGAACCCTGCCAGGAGTAATCCCTGAGCACAGTCAGGTATGGCCCCCACACAACAGCAACGCCAAAAATTCAAGTGCTGTTCTGGTGGTCACTGTTAGTGTTCTGCCGTTGTTTATCGATTTGCTCGAGCAGGCCCAGTAACACTGTGAGACTTGTTACTGGGTATGGCATATCGAATACGTCATGGGGAGCTTGCCAGGCTTTGCTGTGCGGGCAAGATACTCTCGGTAGCTTGCCGGGCTCTCCAAGAGGGGCAGAGGAACAGAACTCAGGTTGGCCATGTCGGCTGCGTGCAAGGCAAATGCCCTACCCGTTGTGCTATCGCTCCAGACCTCAAGTGCTATAAGCATTTAAAATACTTATTATTTCTTTGGCTTAACAAAAAGAAATAGATACATATTCATTTATTTCTTTTTAATTACTAGACAGAATAATGTGACTTTACAAATAAATATTAAGTATTTACCTAGTTAATCTGCTATTAAACATTTGAATTAATTGATAGCAAACACATTTCATACATTGTCTATTAGATGCTATTTTGACTTAGAACTGCTGAAATTTAATGAAATTGAATATTCAAAGAGGGAAAAAAAGAGGCAACACAATTTTGCGTCTGTCTTTAAGGGAAATATAATGTAAAAATGAACTGTTTGCAAATTCTACCAGTACAGAGTTAAATAAAATGAACTAGCAATAATTTATTTTACAAAGCAAATTTAGAATTTGGCCCTACATGGTTTTTCCTTTTGCATATCGGCCAAATTTAAATAATCAGCATTAAAGTGCTTTATATAGTCTGCAAATAAGATATAGGTATCATTATTATCACATTTTAAAATTTTTATTCTCAACCAATCTCCATTTCTGACAAATGAGGAATCTCACAGCAAGTCAGACTTCTAACTACAGCTTACCTATTTTTGGAGAAATACTGGAACTAGAGAGCAGAAATATTATTAAAAAATGCTAAATCCTTAACTTCTAATTGTTTTGCCATTAAAATGTTAAACTGCTTTTAAACTGAAATGTAATTCCATTAACCCCAGCTATTGACCAGTTTAACTTCACACAAATATATTGATCTGTGCAACATAATTAAGATGTAAAGGCAAAACAGATAAATTTGGGAGGGGGGAGTTCTTAACTTAATCTTATCTGAATTCAT